AGTAGGGTTGCAATTTGCCCCTTACCTGCGGGTTATTTAACCCGGGTAATTAATTTATTCTACCGGTAATGTTACGCGGGTAAGATAACCGGGTTATCTGACCCGGTCATTTAACCCGAAGCTAGGGGTTTGAATTTATTCTACGGGTTACGGGTTATTTAACCCCAAGGTAGGGGTTGAATAACCCTTACCCCGAATTTATTCTACGGGCCCTGGGGAAGATGACCAGAGATGTGTTTAGGCCTTATACCTCTAGATATAATGAATAATTTTTTTAATCTTTTGGTATCATTCGATAGGGAATTTAATTCTCTATAAAATTGCCGAGAAACTTAAATTTAAGATTATTATTTGAAAGTTGTGATCGAAAATTTATGTTTGGATGTTTCATAGTTTTTGATTTACTCAATATGTAAAATCTTCTTTCTATTATATTTAGCTGAAGAAGATTGGATATAGTTTAGTATACCGGAGTTTTAGTTCCGATATAAGACCCATATTATTCGATTCGTCTCGGCGAGCTGAGTCGAACGGTACCACTCTCCAAGCGCGGAGATGCCTGTAGGCCGAGATATAGGTTCCCGAAAAGCGAAAAACCATAGGGGGAAGGAAGCACAATTTTGGGGTCCGGTATACTAAACTACATCCAGAAGATTTAATTCCCTATCGAAAGATACCAAAATTTCGTATATTGGTTAATCTTTTATAGAGTTAAAATACTAAAGTCTAACACAGTCCTATTACCGATCATAAGGTAAGCAAGTTCGCTGTCATAAATTTTTTGGTTTTCTAAACAAAATTTAATTTCAAATTTTATCTGATAGCAAATTTAATTCTCTATCGAATGATACCAAAAACTCCAAAATAGCTTCATCTGATCTAGAGTTATAATTCAAAATCCCAACCCAGTCCTAGTAGGGTTGGGAAAAGTGGCACTTAGGCGAGACCTAAATTTATAAAATTTTTCTCAAATTTCTTTAACATCGTTGACTACCTCCTCCAGAAATTTCAGAATTTTTCATCAAATATTTCCGAAGTTATAGTCGATAGACCTCGAAAAATTAGGCATTTTTCAGAAAATCAACATTTTTGGCCACAATTTCTGAAATTCTCGATCAAAAATTCTGAAATTTTTGGAGAACTTAGATAAAGGCACGAGAGTTATTATTGCAAAATTTTATCATTTTTGATAAGCAACTCGCTATCTTATAAACTCGCGCCAAAACGGCCTCGCGCCAAAACGGCCCGGTCCCGTCCTAGTACTGAACACAGGATGCGCAACCAACAAAAAACATGTTTTTAGGTGTTCGAAAAAACTTGAAAACCAGTTACTTTTCACAATGAAAAAAAAAAGTTTCTTTGAAAAAAATTGTTGTTGTTTTTCTTTTATTGTTGTTTTATTGTCGCGACATTTTTTTTAAAAATACCCCTATGAACATCTACTTATTTTTTATTTTTTTTTGCGCGCAAAAAATTGATGTGAAAATGAAAGTGACAGTAAAAAAATAAAAAAATAGAGAGAAAGAAAGCAGATTAATGGAGGAATAGAATTTTTGGAGTCGGCCAATATATAAGGAATTAATAAACAGATTTTAAGGCTAATTAACTGATAGTTATCCTTCGGGTACACCCCAAGGTACCGCAAGTCCAAGGTACCGCCGAGCTATAACTTTGTTCAAAATTGTCGAATCCGGGACGCCCTAGTATGGTTCGATTCAGCTCGTCGAAGTGCATCGGCCATACCATGGCGTCTCGGAGTCGACAATTTTGAACAAAGCTATAGCTCTGCGGTACCTTGGGCTCGCGGTACCTTGGCCTGCTCCCTTATCCTTCAATTGAAGAAAATCAGAGAAAAAGGTCCCTAAGTTTTGTCCAATAGAGTAACATTACAGTTATAGACCAGTGTTATGTACCACCTTTTATTGTAAAATTGTCTCTTAAAATCATGTGCATGTTAAATAGAGGGGATTTCTTAGGCAGCTCTCCCACTCATTGGCAAACAAAATTTTAAAAAAGTGCTTAGGTAAGCAGAGGTGGATCTAGTATTAGGAATGTCTAATCAAGTCCGCCAGTATCTTATAACGAGGTTCCATTGAATTTTACCCTGTTAGTAAGGACCAGAGGTAGGTCGGAACAGTCCGAGGTGTCGGAAATCGGAACTGTCGGAAATCGGAACTGTCGGAAATCGGAATGGTCGAAAATCGGAACTGTCGGAAATCGGAACTGTCGGAAATCGGAACTGTCGGAAATCGGAACTGTCGGAAATCGGAAATGGCTCAAAAGTCGGAAATTGGAAGAAAAAACGTCGGAAATCGGAACTGTCGGAAATCGGAACTGTCGGAAATCGGAACTGTCGGAAATCGGAACTTTCGGAAATCGGAAATGGCTCAAAAGTCGGAAATTGGAAGAAAAAACGTCGGAAATCGGAACTGTCGGAAATCGGAACTGTCGGAAATCTGAATGGTCGGAAATCGGAACTGTCGGAAATCGGAACTGTCGGAAATCTGAATGGTCGGAAATCGGAACTGTCGGAAATCGGAACTCAACTCGATGGCTGAGTCTATTTTGTATTCAATTTTGACAAAAAATCGTCCGCAAAAAACGTCCGCAAATTTTTTTTCTAAAAATATTTCTGCATTAAAAATTTAATTAAATATTTTTTAAATAATCAGACACACCCCCCCCCATAAAAAATCTTACAAAAACAGGAAATAAAAAAAAGTTTAAAGAAAAAGAGAGAAAATATTCTCTCAACTAATGGCCGTTGTCCACTCTCCTCCCCCTTTTTTTACTCCGCGCAGCACTCATTTTCACCCCACCCCTTTTTCCATGCCTTCTACAAGCTTCACTCAGTTTTCCCTTTCATTTTCAGCATATCCCCCTTATATGTATTTATTTATTTTTAAATTTGGATTTTTAAAATTAAATTTAATTAGACAAATTAAATAAATCCTCCCTTAAAAATCACTCAACATAGCCGGGTAGGCGCACGGCCATGTAGGCGCAAAGCCATAACTACCTTGAAAATTTCTGTTCCTTATCAACTTATCAATCTCTTTAGCTCGTTGAGAGGAATCGTTTAATACTAAATTTGTTAAGATTCGAAAATCTTGAAGCAAGTTATGGCTTTGCGCCTACTTGGCCGCGCGCCTACTTGGGCTGTACCCAACATAGCCTTATTTTATCCTTTATAATTTTTTAACAAATTAACCTTTCATTGAGTTATTTTTATTTTTGGATAAAGCAATAAATAGGCTACAAAATAATGAAAGAAATTAATTTTTATATTCATTAGAAAAAATTTTATGAGAAAAAAACCAACACATTTTCCTTATAAAACCCCACTTTTTACTAGTTTTCTGTTCTAACTATTTATCCCTTTGTCTGAAATTTTGATTATAATAGCATTTTATAGCTTATTTAATTTTCTATCCAAATATTAATTGAAGAAAATCAAGAAAAGAACCCACAAAGAAGGGTTGGGGTCATAAGGGCGCGGGGCCATTAGGGACCCAGCACTAGAAACTGACACTTAGGCGAAACCGAAATTTATGAAAATTTTCTCAAATTTCTTTAACATCCTTGACTACCTCCTCCAGAAATTTCAGAATTTTTCATCGAATATTTCTGAAGTTATAGTCGATAAACCGCAAAAAATAAGGGTTTTTTCGGAAAATCAACATTTTTGGCCACAATTTCCGAAATTCTTGATCAAAAATTCTGAAATTTTTGGAGAACGTAGATAAAGGCATGAGAGTTATTATTGCAAAATTTAATCTTTTTTGATAAGCAACTCACTGTTTTATAAGCTCGCGCCCTAATGGCCCCGCGCCCTAATGGCCCAGTCCTACTCATACTTTCTTCCTTATTTCTCTCATTTTTCAAAAAATCCCCCATAAATCAACTCAAAATTTATTTTTAAACTTTTCAGAAATACTTTCTCCCTTTCTAAATGCCATTCGAGAATAGTAGCCAAGATGGGGATTCCAACCAATTATTGTTAAAAACAGAGATTCTTTCATCTTCGCCCCCACAATGTTTAATATACCAAAAACTCCCCATTCAACAAGAACAAAATAAATTTAATTTGTCCACTACCAAAACAACAATAAAGTGCAATAATAATTTAATTAATCCAAGCCACCAAAATTCTGGGCAAAAACATTTAAATTTAAACATATCCCCTATAAGCAGTTGTTCTACCCCTACAAACTGTTCACCCCCTTATAATGTTAATATTTATGGGAATAATGAACAGCAACAAAATATTGGGAGGTTGATACGGTCGAATAGTGTTAAGGTGTGGAAATTTGATTTTTGAAAAAAAAATTTTTTAATTTCAAAAATTTCAAAATTTCAAAAATATTAAAAAAATATTTCGTAATAGTTTGTTTGGTACCCCCCACCCCCTCCCATTTTTCTGGCCATTTTTCATTTTTCCTTCCCTTTCTCCCTTAATGGTACTTTTCCGAAAAAATGTCATATTAATTCTCAAAATGTCATATATAGGTAATAAAAGGTGCTGAGTCGAACGGTACCACTCTTTTTTCCGTAAATGCCTGTGGACTAGAGATCGAGCTGGACCTGGACCAAGGCCTGGGTTTTTCCTGTACCCAGAGTCCAGGTCCAGGCATTTTTTGACCTTCCTGGGTTTTTCCTGGACTACAGGCCCAGACTCCAGTCCAGGTCAAGAAATCTAACCCAGAGTCCAGGAACAGGTCCAGGCTTTTCAAAAATCTCGATCTCTACTGTGGACTGAGATTTATGGCTCAAAATGGTCAAAAACCATAGGTCACTCTTGCTCACTCAATGATTTTGGTGTCATTTGACTCATCTCGTCGAATGCTTCAGATGAGTATTAGGCCTTTATTTTGGTCAAATCAAATCAGAAAAATGGGGGGGGGGTACCAAACAAACTATTACCAAATATTTTTTCGAAGCTTCAAAAAAATTTCAGAAACTCAATATTTTACATTTTCCCATCTAAATTTAAAAAAAAATATTTTTCCCTTTCCAGATAAACCCATTTAATGGAGGAGAAAGTGAAGCGACTAAAACAACAACAAACGAGCAACAACAACAAATCGTGCCTTCATTTCTTCAATTTCCGACAGATGCTAATGATGGAAATGATGACAATAATAATGATTATTTAAACCAGCCATTTAATATGGCTAGACAACAAAATTTAGGTTGAAAAAGCTTAAAAATATTTTTAACCCGCTATTTTGGGGGTATAAGAGTTTAAGCTCTTTATAGGTTTAACTCAAAATTATTTGTTACCTCAAAAATTCTTTCTAATATTTTAAGTTAGCCTGGGCTTTGGGAGACTACAGAGCATAAATCCTAATTATCAGCCTATCTATATACCGTATTTTCTCGATTAATTCCTCTGGGGAATTATTTTTTCAACCAGTCCGTGGCTGGGGTATTAATCGAGGGAGGGGAATTATTCGAGTTTTGGCATTTGAACGTGCAATAGTGTAGGGAGGGGAATTATTGTTTCAACCCAACTCTAGCATTGGGAATTAATCGAAGGAGGGGAATTATTCGAGGGAGGGGAATTATTCGAGAAAATACGGTATCTACATTCAACCTATCTACTTATTTTTAAGACCAAATTAATTGCGAAAGTCCATCTCTATTCTCGTTAGACCCTCCCTGTCCTGTCTCTAGTAGAAATAATTTAAAAATTCAGAACATGAAAACATTGGCCGTTTTTCTTCTCTCCCTTCCACCCCTTGCAATACACACCTACAACAAATTCCTTTTGTCCATCCACAACAACAACAATCAGCTTCTTCGTCCTCTAATTTACAACAAGATCTCGGGAATTGTCCTATTTGCAATGATAAAGTACATATTTTAATTTTTGAATATTTTTTGGGTTTATTCACTGACCTTGGAAGACGAGAGTTCGGGACTTTAAAATTCCCACCCTTTTTTACCCAAAAATATTATGACCTTCCAAGGGCATTTCAAGACACTTATTTTTAAAAGAGTTCCTGTTCCATCCCCTTCCTTTATTTGGAGGATTTTAATCTTCTTTTCTTTACCTATTGCCTAAATAGTCTTACTCGTTACCCCTAATGCGGACCAACTCTAAGCTTCAATTTATTTAAATTTTGCAGGTTTCTGGATATCATTATGGCCTTTTAACTTGCGAATCCTGCAAGGTGATTTTTATTTTTGTTAATTTGGTATGGGAGAGACGAGAGTGAGTGACAGTTAAAAGAGCCGAGAGAGAAGCGGCGAAGAGAGTCGATAGACGAGTGAGAGAGCGGCGGAAGGGATCGAGAGCCAAATGAGAGAGACATGAGAAAAACTCAGAGGGAGACGAGAGGTACAAGACAAAAATTTTCCAATCGCTCCAATTTTTCCGGGATTCAGGAAGATGTCGAAAATCACCCCATTATTCACTCCCTCCTATAAATACCGTAAATGTTCTAATAGAAGCCCGGCTCCAATAGAAGCCCATGCCCTATTAGAAGCCCACTCAATGAGGTATATTGAAGAATAAACGGCCATGCCCTTATAGAAGCCCATGCCCCATTAGAAGCCCACCCAATGGGACCTATTGAAAAATAGACGCCCAGGGCTTCTATTGGAACATTTACGGTAACTGCAAAAACAATTTTTCCTACAGAAAAATTTTTAAAAATTTTATTTACCATTTCTCCCTTCCCTTTTCTCATTTCCATTATTTTCTCTCCTCTCCCTTCCTTAAATTAATTAGTATATTTATTTACAATAATATTTGGGTAGTAACCTCTTCTCTCTCTCATCTTCAAGGATTATAATTTTTTCTAATCCTTGGCCAGCCAATTAATTGTTTTTATTTAATTGGTGTGTGAACATGGAAAATTTTGTGGAATAAGTGAGAAGAGGAGGAAACGCGTGTTCCTTCCTTTCTTTATTTTCCCTTAGGCGAAGTAAGGGGGGGATGGGGTGTAGAAGGGCTGTAGAGGGGAATGTACGGAAATGTAAAAATTGGATTATAATTGTAATTAAGTGTTTATTTGTTTTTTGTTTGTTTTGCCTAAAGCATTTAAAAATATTTGGAGATTTGGAGATTTAAGGATTTTTTGTTTTAAAGTAGGGGTTTAGGCTAGTTGGTTGTGTCCAAATATTTCAACGCCATACAAGAATCTTCAAGTGTTTTAACTTTAGGTGTAGGGTTGGCGGATCTGGATATCCGGGAATTTTCAGTTACATATCTATTTGGATATAAGGGTAATTCCCAGTATATGGACTATAGATATATTCCAGTATATACAGGGTGACCAGAAAGTAATTGCATCGCTTATTTATGCCATAACTTTATTCAATATTTAGATATAGGGACCCAAAAAATTTTCGCGCGCCTTCGACTCTGTGTTAAGGCAAGGGGTGGGTACTTCAAAAATTCTTGATAATTGCTGTTCCTTATTTAATTCTCTATCAATTAAACTTTATTTGATCCCTATATCTAAATATTGAATAAAGTTATGGCATAAATAAGCGGTGCAATTACTTATTGGTCACCCTGTAGACTATCTATTCTTCTTTCCACGATATTATGTTTATGCTATTGAAAGTTTCATAAGATGGAAGATAAAATAAAATAAATTTAAAATTTTCAAAAAAATTTATTTTAATTTTTGTTATTTTTAAAGGGTTTTTTCAAAAGAACCGTTCAAAACAAAAAACACTACACCTGTTCTGGCAATAAAAATTGTACTGTAGAGAAAAGCAACAGGAAACGTTGTCCTCATTGTCGATTTCAAAAATGTTTGGAAAGGGGGATGAGGACTTGTGGTGAGTTTTTAATTTTTAAAACTTAATCCAAGGGAAAAAAATTTCACTAAAAATCAACAAATTTCAAAAATTTTTAAACTTTCTTTTTAAGGGTCAAAGGTATTTTCGGAGTTTTTTAATTAAATTTTTTTTACCAATAGAGGTGGGACCCCCGAAGTACGATATTACCAATGCGGCGGGCCTATACCCGAATAATGAAATACGGGAGGGAATATACCCGGGACTTCCTAGGATAAACTCAAGGGTTGATCAGGCCCTCTGTTGATCCCCTTCACCGGACACACACAATTAAATACACAATTTATATATTTATTAAATCCAAACAATTAAAGCTTTATTAAAAAATTTAATTAAAAAATTATAAAAAATTTAATTAAAATATTTTATATTATGCAGCCTTAAAAATTGGAAATAATTTAATTCTAATTAGGGTCACTACGAATATTTTCCCCTCCTTTCCCAAAATTTTTAATTCTAAAAAAATCCGAAAAATCAAATAAAAAATCTTCAAAAATTTTTAAACTTTTTTAAAATTTAATTAAAATATTATATATATTATGCGGCCTTAAAAATTGGAAAAAATTTAAATCTTATTAGGGTCACTACGAATTTAATCCCTTCTTTCCCAATTAATTTCTCTAATAATTTAACCCTTTTTTAATTCAAATTTTTCAAAAAATTAAATAAAAAATCTTCAAAAATTTTTTAAACTTTTTTAAAATTTAATTAAATATTATATGTATTATGCAGCCTTAAAAATTGGGAAACAATTTAAGTCTTATTATGTATAGTCATTAAGAATATTTTCCCTCCTTTCCCATTGTTTAGTAATTAATTCCTCTAATAATTTAACTTTTTTTTTAATTAAAAAATTAAAAAAAATTTTATCCGTTCATTAAAATATCCCCTTTCTTTTACCTTTAAAAATCAATTTTTATATTTTTTCGCTTTCAATTTTTTAAAATTTTTTTTATCCTTACTCATCTTTAGACTCTTCTTCCTTCATTAATTTTTTGAAAATTTTTCTTTTATTATTTTATTTCCTCAAATCTCCCCTTACGATCTTTTACCTTCAAAAAGATTAATCAATCTATTATTTTTTTTAAATAAAATCTGTAGGTATTTAAAAGGTAGTGGCAATGAAAAATTATTTTATTTACTTAATATTAAATTATTACCAGAATAACGCATATGGGGAATATTTTTTATAATTATTAAAATCAGAATTAATAGAAATACAAGAGAAAGGGATAATAAAAATAAGAATTAAAATAAATCAGAATTAATAATAATCTGAACTAATTAAAATCAGAATTATTTGAAAACACAAAAATCAGAATAATTGAAAATACAAAAATCAGAATAATTGAAAATACAAAAATCAGAATTATTGAAAATACAAAAATCAGAATTATTTGCAAACACAAGAATAATAATTATTAAATATCAGAATTATTAGAAAATACAAAAACAGAACAGTTATTTTTGTATTTTATTAATTCTGATTTTTATTTGTTCTGATTCAAGTTAATTCTGATTTTTATTTGTTCTGATTTAAATTATAGTTCTGATTTTGTAAATTTATTTTAACCAATTCTGATTTTTGCTTACTCCTTCCTCTTGTATTTTCTACAAATTCTGATTTTAATTATTCTGATTTTTGTGTTTTCAAAATTCTGATTTCTGTTTATTCTTGTATTTTAATTGTGTTTTTCTTTTGTGTTTTTCAATAATTCTGATTTTTAAAATTAGTATTTAAACAACCTCTCCTCATCCACATTTTTTATTATATAATTTTCTAAAGCAGTTTTTATTTAAACCCAGAAATCTGTGAAAGCAAAAACTTGTTTTCAATTTTAACGAATTATTCCTGTATTTTCTCTCAACTAAACAATGTCGCAATCATTTTCTGTCGGCATTTAAAGCTAGTATCCACTCCAAAATTTATATAAAATTAAAAAAAGAGTGCGGGAGATGAAAAAAATTTTTGTGAAGAGATGAAAAAATTTGAGAGGATTTTAATTTTATTTTTAAAGAGGGGTTATTTTTATGTAATTTAATGAGGGAAAGTTTGAAATTGAAAGGGAAATTGAAAATGGGAAAGAATTGCATTAAAAATAAATTTAATTAAATTCTAGATATCTTTGTATTTTGGAAAATGATTTTTAAGATGAAAGCGCTTTCTAACAGAGTATGAACTTTTTGATACCTGAGTCCGTCTCGTCGGATTTTTTTTGTTAAACTCTCCGGACCGGCTTTTTCTCAATTATAGCACAGAAGAACCATAAAACCATTTTTTGAAAATCCTATCAGTTCTAAAGAGAAGCTACCAGGTTTAAAATTAGAGTTGCCAAAATGGACCGACTCGGACCGAAAGATCGAGTCGGGCCTAGATGTTTGGCCCGAAAAAGACTCGTACCGGCCCGACTCGATAAAAACAAGCCCGAAAAAAATGCCTCGACCGTCGGCCCGACTCGAAAACGGCAACCCTATTTAAAATATCCGACCCATCTCTAGCTTATGTATACTTCTAGGATTTACTGTATTTTCTAAAGTAAAGCTCCTCTCTGTGGTAGAGGAATTTTCGCTAAAATTCCTCCCTATCAGAGGTGCACGAAAACTTTATTTCGTGATTGCCTATAGGAACGGATTAGGTGAAATTTTGTGAATCTCTGCTTCCCATCTTCTTATTTTTACAAAAACTTCTAGGATTTACTGTATTTTCTAAAGTAAAGCTCCTCTCTGTGGTAGAGGAATTTTCGCTAAAATTCCTCCCTATCAGATATGCACGAAAATTTCGTTTCGTGATTGCCTATAGGAACGGAGTAGGCGAAATTTCGTGAATCTCTGCTTCCCATCCTCTTATTTTTACAAAAAAATCTCCCCATAAATCTCTAAAAATTATTAAATATATATTATCAAGATTCTCGATAACCAAAAGTTTTATTTTTATTTTATACCCAATAATTTTCTCTCTTTTCCTCATGCATCAACCTCCCTTAAATTATGCAACTTAATGGTCTAAATATTGAAAATATTTTTACTATTATTTTTGATGGATGATTTTGGTTGATTTATGAGTTTTATTAAATAAAAAATTTTTTGTTTTTTTAAATTGGATGGCAAAAATATTTTAAATAATATTTTTAAATTCTGGGTAATAGTTAAGTTTGTGTTTTCCCTTTTTTCCCTTTCGGCTGTAGTGTAGTGTACCGAGGCAAAAGTTCGGGACGTAACATGTCTTCGATTCGTCTCGACGAGCTGAGTCTAACGGTACCGCTCCCAATTTCAGGAAATGATTCTGGACCGAGTTATAAGCCTGGCTATCTCCTGGCCACCTCGACCCTAATTTATTAAGATTACGGATCACAGTCTCCTGAACAGTGGTCCACCGGGAAAGTGGGGGTACCGGGATACACCTTGAGTGTTTCCGAATACAGACCCAGAGTGTTTCCGAAAAAACGAGACTTGTTCTCGAACAAAAATCTCGGCTAGCTAGAGATTACTTATATTTTCCCCTATTTATCGACCTCACTTTTATTTGCCTAAAATCTCTCCAAAAATCCACTTAATGTTTCATTTAATTAATAGGTACCTCTCCTTCTC